ATGGGGATCTCAGTTATTATAAGAAATACGAGGTCAGTTAGATTAGGGCAAAATTGCGCATTCTTATACTGAACAATTATCTGAAAGAAAATTTAATGTGTCATTTTTAGTTTTTGAATTATTGAAAAAAAAAACGGAAATTTGTAATTTTCGTTTTTATTTTTTCAAGCGAAAACTAAAACACCTGGACGTTTTTATAAAGACGTTCTTAAGGCACTTTTTTACAAATAATCTAAATCTGTCATCGTATTTTCTAAGGCGTTCTTGATGTCAGAGTTACAACACTTAACTTTGGTTTTGCTTATAAGCGCCACATTGGATTTTTGCATGAAAAAAATGTTTAAAAAATTCTATCTGTCAAAAAATTTTGACATTTATTTTTTGACATTTGACATTTTTTTATATCTATTTAATGATACTGATGATCTTTTATATGTTTTTTTACAATTATTTAGTAAAGGGACAAAAATTTTGCCAATAAAAACCACAAATAACATTGAACAGAGTTACAATTTAGGATACAGCTTCATTGTTTTCTCTTTTAATAGCCTATAGCAAAAAAACTAGGAAAATTATTTTTTCAACGGAAATAAATAGAGTCAAAGTGCAAACTTTAAACCCTCATAACTTCGAAATTTTTATGGATAAAATTTTTTTAACATTTTTTCCATGTTCCTGGTAACTTACCTTATATGGCATTTTTCTCTGGGGCGCGAGTTCTGGCGCACCCTGTATATATTTAATTTTACCATTTAAAGGTCACTAATTGTCTTTTTCAGCTCGATGGAACACCCTGAATGTCTCTAGCAATCTTTTGTCTTAAAATTGACTATTCTATTACCTGTTTCAGTTTGTAACAATAAAAACGGAACACCCTATATACTCGTATACAAAATTGAGCCTAGTTTTGCAACTATTGTGGTCAGTCTAAGATAATGTAATATCTTTAGTTATTAAAAATGCAACGACGAGAATCAAATTAATTTGTAATCCAGTAATTAATGGACTTGAATCCGTATGTCATTTGTGATTGATATGCTTAATTGTAAGATTTAAAATTACGTCATTTTAAAGACCTTTTTAAAACTGATTTGATTCTGAAAAATTTTAGTGATGTAATTTTTTAATAAATGCGAAAAAGCGTATGTTCCATCTAATTTGGTTGTTGTTGATTTCAACTTTTTGTCGATGCTAATCCTGGCTATACAATTAAGTACGTTGAACATATGTTTAACCACCGTTGCACCCGTTTCAACTGTCAAGACCTAGCCTGTGTTTATTCTTGTTCTCGCATTTGTCTTGAAGATACACGTATTTTTTTACAATACAATATTATTTTAACTTGCCATTATTTTAGCTTTTAATTGACATTATATTTCACGTTTACAGTGTAGTTCAAGCGTGTACTTTTAATAATAACATACGATTTCAGATTCATGAATATCTCGATTACAAATTAATTTGATCGCTCGATATTTAGAATTGGGTTAGGTAACAAATAATTAATTATTGTCAACGTAATTTTTGAAATAACTTAAAAAAATCTCATTCTTTTGTACCAAAAAAGTTAATAAAGTTTTTATAATTCAAGTCCTCAAATTTACGTTTTACTCTTGACGCAATTTCTTCTTTTTTTCTTTAAAGCGGGGTACACACTATACTGTAATGTAATAACATGTAATGTAATGCTCGCACCCAACAGCGTTACATTATACGTTACATTACATATTACATTATTAAAATAAAAATTAAATTGCAAGTAAGATAAGATACCAGGAACATATAAAAAATGTTTAAAAAATTCTATCTGTCGAAAAATTTTGACATTTATTTTTTTGAGATTTGACATTTTTATGTCTATTTAATGATACTAATAATCTTGTATATGTTTTTTTTAATAATTAATTAGTAAAGGTACAAACATTTTTCCAATAAAAGCCACAAATGACATTATACAGAGTTACAATTTAGGATACAGCTTTCTTGTTTCTTTTTTTAATAGCCTGTACCAAAAAAAAACTTGGAAAATTATTTTTCCAACAGAAATACATAGAGTCAAAGTGCAAAATTTAAACTCTCATAACTTCAAAATTTTTATACAATCATAGAATTTTTTTAACATCTTTTCCATGTTCCTAGTATCTTAAAGTTTGTTTTTTTTTTAATGGAAATTACCAAGTCAAACTTTTGGTGAAAAAATTGGTAGCAGCTTGTCTCCATAGTCACAAATTTTGTTTGGTCTTTGTTTTTGTCCCTAGAAATTTTGTTAAAAAATTATGGTTATGTGTTCAAATTGAGATGTTGCCAAAATTTTGACTTTTATGAATCTTGTGTGCCTGTTTGCTCTTTGAAAGCGCTATAATTGAATACATGAAGACAGACATCATTACCTAAGGTCTAAAGACCAAATTCAGTGCTAATAATTTTGATAGAAACACACCGCAAATAAGTACATTGTTGTGGACAAAAATGAGGTTCTTGCTACAAAAACTTTGAAGAAAAAGGATGTATATACAGAAAAAAGTTATTTAGCAAAAGATACAAGCAAGGTTTGTGAAGATCGCCAATAAATTTTGTGTAATTTATTGAAATGAGCTCAAAGTTGATGCATTTTATAAATTTTTATTCAGCTTTAGTTTCAAAATTGTTACTTTTACAACTCGTTCCTCAAAAACGATGCACAAGACACTGTTCTTCCGAGGTTCTTCCTCATTCATGTTTTTGTATTCTTGTCAATTTCTTGCTAAAAATAAAGAATGTTTAGCAAACCTGCATTACAAATTGCGTCTACATTTTAACGGGCCCTTTTTCTAACTTCCTGCTTGCAAACTATTCCTTTCCAGATTTTTAAAAACTTGCTAAAAACTTACCGGTACGGAATTTGTTTCTTTTTTGGTGTTTCATCTCTAAATTTTCTTAGACGATTTTTTGTGTTGACGTTTAATGACATTGTTTTCAAATTAATTCAAAAAACCGGAACTGCCAACTTCCTTTATTAAAATTACCATGAATGAATTTACTAGTGGTGCCAATGTTAAGACTATTTGGCATTTCCATTTAAAAATAGAACAGACTTTACATGACATATTTCTCTGAGACGCGAGTTCTGGCGCACCCTGTAGTAGTGTATACCCGGCTTCAAAAAAAACTCAACAGTTTTCAACATTGCAATGAAGTTTTGCACCCTTTTCAGAATAAGTTGAAACTATCCACTTTACCAGCAATTGATTCACGCCTATTAGGTTAAGTCTCGCCAGAAGCGCCATAAAACTTTCCAATTTGCCAAAGGAGAATTTCTGATCGTTGATTTAGTGTAAAAAATCGCAATAACAGAGTTTTTTTGCACTTTCATCAATGTCTGTAATGATTTTAGTATGAACGTGTACTCTTCATTTAATTTGACGTTGCCGTAGCAATTTGACTAATTAGAGTGGACGTGAATATTGGTGGTTGTGGTGAATTCGTTGTGTCGCTTAAGTATTCCGGTCGCGAGGACGTCGTCAACTATTAATGCCAGAGAGCGCACCAAACCTACACGTAGATACCCAAAGTTATTTGCGGTGATTTGCATTATTTGGATGAAAATGGATTTGGGTTCGATCTTGAAGTATTAAAGTTCAAAAAAATATTTTTTTTTCACGTTAGGGTGACGTTTAAAGGCCTTAAGTGCTTTCCATTGATTGCCATCCGGTTCAAAATAATCCTCATAAATTGTTTACTTTGCGGTTAAACACACATCGATTAACAATTTAAGGCAGAGATGTATGAATATACATGAAGAGACGTGCAGTTTGATGTCCGCTCTGACCCTTTATACGTTTGAAGGCGCAATATCAAAGCATTCTCCAGTGCGGATGAAAAACAACCAACTCCCATTTTGAGGGGTTCAGAAGTTTTGTTGGGAATTAAAACATTTTATCTTGCCGTGCAGCAGTAATCACAAGCCTCCAACATTGGTGTAAATTGAAATGGCCATCTGACCTGTAAAGTGATGTTTATTCTACTATCAAAGCTCCCCATCAAACCATCTTCTACTATTTTGTAATAAAATAGCTAACGAAAAACATATATTATTGTTTCTTTTAATATAAATTAAAAAAAATCACACAGTTTCGGTAGACATTAACGCTTTCCATGAGTATTTACATCGATAAAAGTATCGGAATAAAAGTTTCGAGCAAGCTGTTGTGTGTGTTTGTAGTAAATATTTAGTTTTCCTGCCAATATAGGACTAAACATAAACAAGGAAAAAAATAAATGGAGGAGGATGTGTGAATTGTACTAAAAAACTGTTTATTCATATGTTTTTTTTTTCAAAAGAAAAAATGTCTTCTTTAAGGTTTTCTAATATTAAATTAAGGTTGTTGTTGTTTCCCAATACATATTAAATATTACCAAGTACAATATAATTTACAATATGTATAAGTAAAACACAGGACCGTCGCTAGAAACACTTTTTAGGGCGTCCAATATTTTTAGTGGGGGTAGAACAGTTCTGCGCTTCAAAAAATCGAGGATTTTATTTTTTTAAATGCTATATTTCGACATTATAGTAACATTTATGATGTCATACGTTTTTGAATTGTAACCTCATTTTTAATTTTTTTAAATGACAACTGACATTTTTGTTCACTGTTTTAAATAGCACACATCTTTATCTTTTTGGTAATAAGAAAAAAAAAATTTTAATGAAATTAAACCCTAAAAAAATAAGAAAATATTGCTAGTTAAACACAAAAGGCTTTATCTTTTTTATAAAAGGCAATTGTTTTTTGTATATTTCTTTAAATAATTTGCATGAAAACAGTTAATATGAAACCTAAACACAAAAAAATAAAAACGAAAAACAATCACTCCTTATAAAATAAAGCAAGAACAAGAAGAAGAACAGCTCTTTGTAGAAAACTTACTATACCTAACTTTTTTAAGTTTTTTTTGCATTTTTTTTGATTTATTTTTTTGAGTTTTATTATACTTACCAGAAAGATAGCGATGTATACCTTCTATCTAAAACAAACAAAGTAATAAAAATATCGGTTGACCTAAAAAAAATAATAAAAATGACATTATACATTATTACTCGAAAACGAATAAAGTAATAAATGTCACTATGGTGTACACAGCTCCTGATTTTCAAAGATGTGACAGCTGTCAGTGAAATGATATATGACTCAAATGGTAAATAGGTAATCGGTACAGTGCCGGACAATAAATTTGGTCCACCATAAATGTCAAGTGATGTAGGATATATGTGAACTAATCTCACCTTTTAAGTCTTGTCATGCATGATTGTCATTTTAACTTAGATTATCATAGACTGTTAAAAGCTGTAGAAATTGGTGGCAGTTTGATGCCTGACAGTGGTGACAGTATTATGACAATGAAAAAGTCTGCACGTCAATTATATTGAATTTGCATGACCCCATGGAAGAACTAGACTGGAGTTAGTATTTAATATGATTACCATAGCAACACAAAAAATTTCCGGAAATTTTTTAACTCATTAGCTAAAATTAATAAGTGGAATTTTTTTTGACGCAAAAACTGACCTCAAATATTTAGCAAAACTTTATTTTAAACATCAAAAACTAAGATTTACTTGAACTCGTGATTTCATACAATTTTTACCCGAATACCTCTCGTACATTGGACTGAATCCGGAAATTTTTTTCTCGTGATTGGCAAAAACGATTTCCACTCGGGCTAATTAATGACGTTTATGACAATCACTCGAAAAAATTTCCGGAAACAATAATCAATGCACTCGGGATATTAGAAGTGAAAATAATGCATAGTTTGTTTATATCTAACTTTTTTGAAATGACAGAAAAATGGTGAACCAAATTTATTGTCCGGAACTGTACGTGTAGTTTTGTTCAGTTTAAATTGCGCTGTTTCAGTAGTGGAACAAAGCAAGTTTGTTTTTTTTGTAGATATTTTTTTATAGCAAATAGGGCCCCTCTTAAACTAAATTGAAGTCAATGATAATGATAAATATGATACATTATATTATTTTTTACTCGGCTTCACTTTTTAATTTTCGTTTATTCTATCAGTCTATCACATATTAACAGGTAACACTAAATCAAGATTAGTCAGTAACCAAATACAAAAATATACACTTGAGTCTAAAAAAACCGCAAATTGCTTTTTTTATAATGTAATTTGGCCTGTTAATAAATGCCAGTTTTTTGACGTTATCTTTGTCACAATTCACAATTTCATAATTGTCAGGCAAACTTCTATCAAGTTTTTCAATTTCGTTTTTAACACTGACTATGACACTACACTGGCAAGACCACCAAATACGACATTTCTTTAGATAGTTTTCTAACCTTTTTGGGAATAACCTTTTTCACACTGTAAATCTCTGAAAATTTGACAATTTTGTTTTTGACAATTTGCGTTTTTGTACCTTTCTCAGAATATTTTAGTCATTTCGTAACGTCAACTGAATCTTATATAAACAGAAAAGATAATATTTACGGCTTTAATTAAGTTTTCCGTTTAAGAAGAAATTTGAATTTGTTTTATAAGAAGAGTAAAGTTGCGATTTTAATTACGTGTTAAATTCGCAGATAATTACGGAGAATTCAAAACATGTAAAACGCGCCGTTTTTGAGCCAACGTTGTGTAAAAAATAGCGTTAATGGGATGACGTAGTGTAGAAATCGTCGCCGTTCTTATCAGTTTAACAAACTTATCTATAATCTAACTGATGGCTCATCTTCGCTACACATTATGTACGGCATATTAAGCAGCACTGAGTCTCGAAGTAAGCTGATCCTAAATTAAGATTCAATCCACACATCTCGAGAAGTGTGCATGGTGTAACAAAGGTTCGCCAGATCAGATATTAAAAGCCTGCCTGCTGATGATAACTGGTGGCAGGCCCACCATTGACAACCGTGGTTACGGCAGGAGACACGTGTGGGTCCTTTATTAATTAAATTTTCGTAGTGGGTCAGGGAGTCTCTTTAATATTTTATTATTCGTGCAAAGTGTCGAAAGCGTCTAATGAAGGATATCCAGAATAGAATCAAATTAAGCGACGAGGGGATACCAAGGGTTTTTGCAAGTCCCCTCCCCTCCCAATGTTCTATACTAATTAATTGTTTTACAAAAAATGATTAAATTCAGATGGGGATTCCTAATTGTGCGAAAACTTTAATTATCACCATTCATTAAGAGGCGTCCAGGAAAAACTGAAGTCGGCGGAGTGAAGCAAAATGAATTTTTCTAAAGTTTTCTCGTTTACAAAGAAAGAGACAATTAGTATTTCACTCGGTTTGTTTAACTTAAAAAGCATATTACATTTGAAGACACGGCTCACAAATGAAAATGTCTCTCACAGAGTGCACTCGAATAATGTAATTACGTTTTTTCCACCGCCGCTCACTGTTTTCCTGATTGAGAATTAATTCGTTGATTCGACCAAAATGTTGTCTTTGTCCAAAGGTTATAATTTTACCTTCTGATCGAATTCATTTACAGCCCGCTATTAACTCATCCTCTACACTTGTTTAAATAAAACGAAATAATTTGCATACTAATTTATTTGAAGTGCAAACTTTAGTTAATTAGTGCAAATATTGTGCTTTTATGGGCGGATCGATGGAATTCCTGCGGTAACACGCAGGATTTTTGCCAGTCGGCTCCTGACGCCATCCGTGCAATGCAAACGTTCTTTTACTTTTCCAGGTGCATGCGAACGATCCATCAAACGTAATCCTATAATTTTAGTTCGAAAGTAGTAATTTCTTTTCATGTATCTTTCCCGCTATAAATCTCGGCCCTATAAAGCAAGCCGCTTTGAATAATGAAACTTTGAACTGATTCCGGGGACATTGTCTCTTTTAATCATGTTCGACGTCCCAGGAAATCGAAAACGAATCATTTTTACCCGAAAGAATTTCCGTTATTACCGTCCGTTTTTAAAATGCGAGCAAACCTCTTTATCTATTTATAAATATGCAAATTTATATTGTAGAATTGCGTGTAAACGCATATTTCGAGGAAGAACTCAACAAGGGGAATGCATAATTGAGACGTTGGCATTTCTGCAAATACCAACAAAATCAACAAAGGAAATTTCTCTTTTAGAGTTTCTAACAAATTCGCCACGAAATATGTACCACTTGATCCGAAGAAATTGCAACCTAATTATTTTCATTGTTAATTAAGACTCATTTAATCGCAGACATTTACGATAAATCCGCCGCAATTAAACAGCACGGCATTTTTGAAAATTATTACCCTAATCGATAACGACTGCGCAATTTATTATAACCGCTGAGGCTTCTTGAAAGGATAATTAACAACTCGCAGCCAACAAAAAACGTTCGCTACAATTACTCCCATTAGCGCAGTGTTAATTTTTACCGATTTTTGCAGACTAATTCGTGATTTAATAACCTTTGACACGGCACCACCATAACTTTTCATTCAACAAAATGTTTATTATGGCAGGCCTGCACAAACCACGACACTGAGTAATGACCGACGATACCTACTTTAGATTTATTTCAGTATTTTTATGTTGGGGCTATTAAACGAAGAATTTTATTTTCTAGCCATCTATTGAAAGAAATGGAGCATATATCAAAGTCGATAAACTATAAGAAAACGATTTATTTTTAAAGAAAGTCAATCCGGGGCTAAAACGACCTACGATTATTCCTTCCATCTCTATTTATACGCGAACACGTAAAACGCGAAGCCATTAATTAACCGAACTCATTAATAATAAAATTAATTAGTACTTAACAAAACTCAATTAATATTGCAATTGTATAAAAGACTGTTTAAAATGCACGTAAAATTCTTCAACAAATAGAAGTTGTCGAACAACTCTTTTTCAACTTTCTAGTGGTTATTGTTTCAAAGTATCAAGAGTTGGAAATATAGGAATTTTAGTCGTTGATTGTAATATCTGCAGTGTCGTAATTGATTTAAATCTCGTCGGACTGAGTCTCTTAAACTAAATTGAAGCCAATGATAAATATTTCACATACAGGGTGTCTCAGCGAATTGAAAAAGTCCATTAGTGACTTTTAAATAGTAGAATTTAAAAAATATATATACGACATTGATGGATTCTAATCTAGTCCATCGCCTACAATTATTTTCAACTATACAGCGTGTCTCAAAAATAAGTTACAATACAAACTTGTGTTTTTTTTTTAATTAAACTCCATATGTTTCGTAGCGTTTTTGGATGTAGATTTTTTTGACAATGCTAAACTTTTATTGGTCGATTTTGCTTAGTTTTAAAAATAAGACGTTTTTTTGACGAAAACATGCACTTTTAAAAAATGTATTACACAAAAACAAAGACATCTAGAAATATTTTTTTACTACCGCAAAGAAGAAGGTACAAGCTATAAGGTTGTAACATTTTTTTAGTGTGTTGCATTTGCAAAGGTAAAAAAATAAAGGCGTTTGTTGAAAGTTCAATAACTTAAAAAAAATAAATGGAACACCCTATTTATTGTTTTATTATTTAATTGTCTTTCTAAAATTATTTCCTTTAAGTGTTTATAATCAATAACTAAAAAGATATTTAACGTTAAACATAAAAAAAATAATTACTGTTGTTTCAGTAGCCAAAAAGTGCACAGTTGCACAAGAGATGGAAGAAATGTCACTTAATAATCACATTTGTTTTAAACTGAATCCATTATTCTTTATTTTTACAATAAAATAATTCGAATTTCAGTTTTTATAACGATTTTTACAATCTCCGGATAAATCAACGGATAAGTGATCCGTGGTGGAATTACTATATGATTGCCATAGTATCAACAATGCTCAGATATTGATAGGCGTTGTTGCTACAATTAATATTAAATGTTAAATATCTTTTCATTTATCAATTCCAGACATTAAAAGTTTTTTAGGTAGACAATTTATCAATCTATTAGATGCAAAAAAAGGGTGTTCCGTTTATTTTTTTTTAATTATTTAACTTTTAGCATATTTCTTAATTTATTAATCTTTACAAATGC